GTATTGTTATAAAAAATGTGTCAATTAACAATATTTTTTCTGACTCTTAATCTTTTGATAATTTAAAATTATTAACGTAAATTTCAAAGTATTTCAATTTAATGCAATTTTTCTTAAATAACTAGTTGAGAAAAGTGTTATTTGTATACTATTACATCACATTATAATACAAGTAGCTATTGAAGTTTGGAACGATTTGTTAAATACTATGAAATGTGGAAAGTATTTTTTTATATCTGTATCATCTTACAAAATTTCGAAAAAGAAATTTTTTTTTCATTTTCCGGAAAACATTAAAAACAATGTTCTCAATTTTTATAAACGTTTATTCACTCTAAAAAATAAATGAAATTAACAAGGATTGAAGACTTCAATGATTTTAACTTAAAAAATTCTTTTTTTTTTGTATTCATAAAGGAGCTAAGAAATAATTTAAATTTCTATGGCAATTGTTCTGCCAGTGACGGTTGGTTATCAAAACCTACCGAAGTGTAGTGCCTCTTTCATATAAAAAAATAAAGAGGAGAAAAAGTAAAAGTGAAGGAATGATAGTATTTCTCATCTTAAAAGGTTATTAGATGCTGGTAAAGTGAAATAATAATTAGTTCGGAGGAATGACGGAACAAATAGCTTCGAAAGGGGTCGGGTCACCGATATCAGGTCCATTTGCAATACTCTGACATTGAAAAATACTAGATAAGATGCTTAAATTAGCTATTACTAGATATTATTTAGATGAGCAAGAGAGCTAAACTAATTTATCTTCTTCATGGCCATTTCCACCACAAAATGGGTCATTCTTTCAGTGATCTGCTCAATAAAATGCGGAAGTGGGTAAAAATGGTAAAGAATCAGTGGAATGTGGAGTGCAAAAATATAAATTTTTATTACCATTATTATAAATGATCAGGAATTGAATTTTTTTTAATTCTATTTATAACGGAATTCTGAAGGCTGCCTATATTTCTAGACATTTTTATCAGTTTATGTTCAAAATAATTTCGGTAACACCATATATTTAATAATTTTGATAATTGGAAACACATTCGAACACAAAGTCCTTTTTTAAAAATAGTTTCATTTCAATAAGGGGTATTTCAATATCTTCGTAATAAAGCAAATAAATAAAATCATCATCGAGTAAATAGATAAAATCATCATCGAGTAAATAGATAAAATTATCAGCACAACTGTATTTAAATTTGGTTTGAACGTGTGTTGATAAATATGACTTTGAAGTACTGTTGTTATTATTTCAAATTAAAAGCAGTTTTCTGAAAGTTCCAGAAAAATTAAAATTTTCTTATTTATTAGATTTTAGAAAAATAATTAGGATACTGAAACTTTTTTAGTTTTTGTTTTTCAAAAAAATAGAAGTAAATGTCATATCCGAATGAAAACAAATGCGGCACGCAAAAAAAATATTTTAACACACTTTTTGATTGTTGTTGTTGTAGTTAATTTACGTCGCACTAGAGCTGCACACAATGGGCTATTGGGGACGGTCTGGGAAACATCCCTGAGAATGATCCGAAGACAAGCCATCACAATTTTAATCCTCTGCAGAGAGGATGGCACCCCCGCTTCGGTAGCCGAACGACCTGCACGCGAAGTCGAGTACTTTACGGTAGAACAGTTTAACGAGGACCCATACCGCACACCATCGGTCCCTACGCAGACTGAACCAAGTGGTCACCCACCCGCACACCAACCAGAGCCAGTGTTGTTTGACTTCGGTGATCTGCTGGGAACCGTGCCTTAACGATCGGCACTTTTTGAAAGACGTCCATTTTTGCATATTCCAACTTAAGATTAACTATGAATCTAATGAAAATTCTGTTAGGAATTTTCTAACAGTATTAAATGTTATATGTGCAGCGATTTAAACCAAAGTTTAACTTCTTGTCAAGCAAAGTAAATTTACAGGTTTGCATCCTCAAACCATTTGTAAATATTGTGTAAACTTTTACTGCAAGATTAGGCATTGGAGATTTCTACGAGATTAAGCATATCTCAACAGGATTTTTTTTTTAAAAAATGTAATGAACCTGCTCTCAAAGCATAAATTAGGGTTAATACAATGTGTCATGAAGGAAATGACATTCGTTTAATAAGCATTGAGTGATGTGTGTCTGGTACAATCCCTAAAAATTTTTTTTAAATTATTTTTTAGTTTTAATTATAAAATATATTGTGCATTGTAAATATATTGTGCATTGTCCTTTAGTAAATATATTGTGCATTGTCTGTCGAACGTTCATCGTTATTCATCTATGTATTTAGCTTAGTAAAAAATAAAAATTTTTTAAAATAATACAAAATACATCTAGAGTTATGGTATGATTAAAACGCACTATTTCCAAAGAAATTTGCGAATTTCAGACTGCAAAATATATTATATAAGGTTATATAATAAACTCACATTTTCATAAATCATAGAAGCAAGTACGTTAATTTTTACGGTACGTTAATTTTACTGGAATTTTTTTTCTACATGAAAGTTAAACTTTTTGAGCAATAAGAGACAGAAGCGATTGCATATTCTTTTTTGAAAAATATTTTAACTGGTTGAAAGAATACGATTATTTTTTACATTATGCAACTCTTTAAAGCATGTATTGAGAAGATTTTTTCCCACTGTAATTCCTTCAGCACGTTTATGCACTCGAGGGAAAATCATTTTTCTTATTGAAAATAAAAAAGAGAAACAATCTCTCGTCTTCTTAAGAAAATAGATTTTTCTACTTTTGAAGATTAGAGAAAATATTAGAATTTTCGATCAGAATATTAAAATATAAGTGTAACAGGTTCTTGTTTTCTTATGAAATAATATAAAAATTATACGCACAAAATATACATATAAAAAATATTCTATTAGAAATTTTAAAGTGTATTGAACCATAAACCAGATTAAATTTCTTGCAACCAATTACATGATGCTAAATTAAAACATATTATAATCCTTCTAACACTTGGTTGCACCACATTAACAGGTTCAACCTAAACATTGCTCATTTCAATACCTTAATTAAGGTTGCAGCAGTTTCGATCCAAATTATGGCTCATTAAACAGAAAATATGGTTTGATGATGATTCGTAATCATACGAGTGTACACAAGGTAACGATTTCACTAATTTACAAGCAAGCACCCATATATTCTTCTTATTTTTAATTAAAAGATAGAATATTAGATTAACAATTCAACGATATTGTTTGAATAGTTTCTGAGCTACGCAATTTGAAAAAGTGACAGATTTACTGCATTATCAAATTTTATATTATGTCATTTAAAATATTATACTTTAAAATGATACAAAATTTTTTAAATCTTACAATGAAACATATTTTGACTATTTTTAAGTAAAAACACAAGAAATTACTTAAAAAAAAATATTTTTACATGAATTTCTTTTTTTGGATAGCTGGATTTTAAATTTTATCGATTCGCTTAAAAAGTGCAGCGTGTTGAATTAAGTGTGGTATTAACATTAAGGGGTAAAAATATTTTACTGCTCTACTGCCGTAGTTATTGGTTCCATATTTTCCAGACTGTATCTACCACATCTTCCCTCATATTTCCAAAATGAAAAATCAAGTATAAAGAATCATCTGAATGAGTTAATTAGTACATTTAAAACTATGCCTTTGAACATTAAAATAGAGTGAATGAAAATCAGATCATTAGATCAAAAATAATTCTGGGGGTTCATTTTTTTACGCATTGTACACACGACATGCTCAACAATGGTTTGTCAGATTTTGGTTTTTCACTCTCATATTTCAATTTGCAATATCATTGTATATGATTTAATGTAAGGGTACATTAACATTTATATTTGAACTGAAATTGATTTATACTAAAACATTTTATATTTATTAAAAAGTAACGGTAAAAGATTTTCTACATTTCTATTAAATTTAAACTATGTTAATCTATTTATTCAATATTAAAACTTAATTATTTATCATACTCTTTTAAGTATTCATTTAAATCTGCAAGCAGTGAGTAAAACTTTTGAGTCCTGATCCAATTACTTTTAATAGGGTATGGACAGTTTTTTATAAATATAGCATGTGTCATATTTTATAATATATTTATATTTAAACCCATAACTACAGCATCAGGCACGACGAAAATTCCTGATGATAAATAGTTTATGATGAGTGTTCATTAAAAGTTCACTTCTTAGACTGTAAAAACTATGAAAACCTTCCCAAAATGCCTCAGAAATTGCTTATCAGTCTATCAGAGTTGGCATAAGAATTTTAAAATCATGGTTTAGCTTCAGACTTATTAGATTATTCTAAATTCTAATTTTTTAAAATTCATTTAAAAAACATTTCTGAGTGAAATTTTTTTTCAAACGTAAAAATACTGAACATAAACAATTCGTCTTTGTTTTTATATCCAACTGACAGATCTATAAACATTATCAAAAACCGAGAATTTTTTTTTAGAAACAGTAAAATTTCGGAAATTATTGTAACTCGTGAAAAAGCTACTATTGAATTTTTATACGAGTAAACAATGTATGTCATTCTTAATATTTATTCAATAGCATGTTATCAAAAATCAGTGATGACATAAAGTATATACTTACAAATAAAGAAGCAATCTGTTTGTCTATTTTATATAAATAATGTACACTTGGCAATATATTTCTTCACTCGTTTGTAGTAATGTGGAAAATAACTGTCATTAACGCTTTTTAGACTACATAAGAAACAAGTTTTTAAAACATAAAAATACTGAACATCTGAATATAAAGCATTCGTTTTGTTTTATTTCAGATTGATGAAGCATATAAACATTAATAACTAAGCAAGAAGCAAAATTTGCGTTTAAAAAAAATATTTTGTTTCGAAACCTAGCATTATCGAAACCCGCAAAAGCATTAATTTGATTTTTATGCGAGTAAACAATGTATATCATTCATAATATTTGCTCAAGAACATATTGCCAAAAATTAGTAATGCCATAAACAGAGTATATACTTACAGAGAATGAAGTATTCTTTCTGTCTGTCCTATTCAAATAATGTCGATATTTCTTGACTCGTTTGTAGCCATGTGGAAAATAAGTGTCGTTAACAGGCTTCTTCCAAGAGAGTTTACCTGATGCTTGCTTACTTGTCACAAACAGTATTCGCTGCGCTCTGCATCATGGGTAAAACCTTTCCTTCTCTAGGGGACGTATATAAGATAAATTATCATTTATATCAGTGACCGTTGAATTTTTTCTCTTTATTAGGGTTAGTTGCCTTTATTAGGGAGAATTTTCTGAAGCTGGGATTGTTGAAGCAAATCATAAAATAAATTTTTAATCAGAACAATTTGAAATAGCTATTACAAATAGAAAAAAAAAATGGTGTTTCAAAATTTACAGCGTTTCTGTAAGAAACCGAGGTTTATTGGACGTTGTGGCCAAATGCATACGAATTAATGATTTATGGGATTGAGTTGAATGTAACATGTTAACATGTAAACATTACTAAAGGTAGAAGAAAATCAATACATTTTGTTTGTGGGTGTAATTACCACTATAAATATTAAAATACCAAATCACTAGTATATAAGACATGTTAACTCGATTTTATCCTGAGGTACCTTTTAATGGATGAAGGTTGACATAGTCGATAAATAAATCCCCTCAGGTTCAAGTTGCAGAGTTCCCAAATTTTTTTTATTATATTAACACAGATTTGATTTCACACATTTAAGCTAAATAAGTTTGTACTATTACCATTGCCTTTTCATTCACAAACATGATTTTTTTAAAAAATTTTATTTCTATTTTCGGTTACGATAAAAACTAGTCGAATGCTTTCACTAAAGAAACTATTCAGCAACTGTGTGTGAAGTTAATTCCTAATATGCCTTATACAGCTTTAATATTATTAAATAGCTATTTTGTATTTACTGTTTTAACTACAAATGTTAAGTGAAAACAGTTTGCTTAAAATCTATAATAATGAAATGAAGAGTTCATGTGTCTGTCTGATAACTTCAAAATAATTTATGTGTGCTTCATGAAATTTGGACAATTTGTGAAAAAGGTAATTTGTGAAAAAGTCAATTTTCGAACCCAGTTCTAAAAGTGGTTAAGTATGGGTATTCTAGCAGTTTTCTTATATAAGTAAATGTATTATTTTTATCCTATAACAATTTTTAAATAGTAACTGAATATTTTTTTTTATGAACTGTTAAGTATTAAGGTGACAATGAAGTCTTGTATCTTAAAAGAATATTTCCAGAATGAAAGTCTCATTTAAAGCTTTTAGTTGCCAAGTTTCTTATAAAATGTTATTAATTTGAAGTGGAGAGGAAAACTACTTACTCCCATAAAATACAGCTTGAAACTGATAGGAGTTATGAAAAAATTAAAGCAAATTTTTCTTCTAGAAACTTTGTAATGTACTTTCATAATCAAATTTTTTAAAAAAAATATTTAAGCAATTAAATTAAATATGTCCGATTTTTTCGAAATAAAGTTTTTTTACTTAAAAATATTGCACGTGAGAGCTCTTACCGTACACTGCCAAAAATTCCGGATAAAATTTCGGTAAAAAATACCGACATTTAAGGTACTTTTTACCGTGAAATCCATTTTTTCCGAAACTTGTTGCAAAACAAAAAATCTGATATATTGTACTTTTTACAGTGATAATGACCGCAAAATAACTGAATCACTCTGAATAAGTATAGCTGTAAAAATTACTGCATAATATTTTACTGTATGAATATATTTTACAGATGAATAGACAGTACCGTAATTTGAATCGGAATGTTTTACAGTATATATTCAATCGGAGTTACTAAGACCACTTGTGAGTTTTAGACATCTTTCATTTTAAGAGCATTTAATTTAGAGATTTAAAAATTGTTGTAAAACTTGGGTTTACTGATACACTTTTAATTTATTCTTAGTTTATATTCAGGGTAAATGGACACAAAATTAGGCCATAAGTAAAAATTCAATGTTAGGCTTCTGTTAGTTAATGACAGAATGACAGAAGATTAACATAAATGAACATATACTGATTTGATCATTTTTGAATAGGAATAAAAAGGAAAAAAGAATATATTTTTTAAAATTTTTTTATTTTAGGAATTTTTGGTATTAAATAAAAAATAAACACGTAAATGAGTCAGGATCTTTATTTTTCTAATTTACGGGATTACAATAATTTAACCTATGAACCATAAGGAGCTGAAAAATATATTTTTTGATAAAAGAATAAATTCGTTTCTTGTTATTAATATTATCAATGACACTATTATGAACAAACAAAAATTAATCCTTTAATTTGTTATAATACATTTGTCGCTTTTACGAATAGGCCATGTACTATATCAATTGAAAAGTTAAAAAAATTAACATATTTAGCTTGTTAAAAAATGTTTTTAAGTCTTAGAAAATTAGGAAAACAAAGTTGCAAAATAATGAGGCACATTAAAGTTTCTGCAATAATTTCTGAAATTTAAAATGATTAATTTTTTTTGAGGTCTCTTATTCAAGCTCTCCTATGCATCTCGCACTCATTGTTCAAAAATTTAGTTAATTAGGAAAAAAAATCATAATTGAAATGTTATCAATAATCTAAAAAAACCATAAAAGAACAGTTTGTGATAATGGTAAAAATGTTTATAAGAAGTCTAACTTAAAATTACGAGTTTGGTGATTAAAGCTATGACGAGCACGCATTTATGCATTAATATAAATAAAGGTTTATAGACTTACATTTAAAGCACACTCCGTATTGAAAATGTGTGATCTAAAACTTCACTAAAACAAGTCCATCAAGGCATAAACATAATCATCAAAGTGCTAAAGTCAGAGTCCAGAATTTACCCCGATTAAGTTACTCAAGAGGTTAGGCATCATGGAGAGAGTTCATCATGTGTTCAAGAGGACATGGTCATTTTGATATTTTGAAAAAAAACTGATCAGCATTTGAATCTTCCTAGTTTAGCCACGGTTTACCAGAACTCATATTTCTTATACCTTAAATTTTCAAATACTCATAGAAGGGAAAGTAAATTCGCCATAAACGGTATCTATCGTGGTATAGTGTCCTGTTAACAGGTTAACTTAAATAACAGGTTAAATGTGCTATGCATAGTTGACATAAATAAAACAGGTTTTATTTGTGTTAACTATACATAGCTCCTGCGAATAAAATAAGCTACTGAATTCTTAAATTATATTTTTCCTAAGCATAGATGTTTTAATGTAAGGCTCTAAAATTTCCTAAATTGAATAATAGTAATGCACTTGCGCTTTCGGAAAATAAAATGTATCTCAAGTCTTTCAATTGAAAATTTTTCTGTTCGTAGTGGATTCAATTTAACGGAAATTCATGTTTTCAAAATTATAGTTCTTATTACTCATTCAGTAAAATATAACGTTCAATGGAAATAAATGTAACAGAAGATAAAGGTTGTCACGCTATACTCTACTTCTGTAACTATAATATAATAACACACAATAAAATTTCCAGAGTATTCTTCAGAACGGATCTTTTTACCATAAAATAGGCAACTTTAAGATTTTGATGGAAATGTCTTTTACCATAAAGAATGATAATAGGCCTTGTAATCAGTCTACCATGCTTTCTGATCACGTAGGATCTAAAATGGCGGTACCGTGTGGATAGGAATTAAACATTGCGTTGATAAGGGGGCAATATATTTTGTGAACATATTTCTTAAAATATAATATGGTAACTAAAATGGAGATGATGCTTTCAATTATTTTATTGAAGTGTCCTACGAGACACGTGTACTGGTCAAGATTTTATATTTTCGATAATTGCATTTGCTATTTCAGTATAGTTCCAATTTGAAAACCCAAAATGAAACTTACGTCTGAAAAGGAAACTGTGCTAAATGTCCGGAAACAGAAAAATTTGATAATAATAAATGAAAGAAAACAATTTGTAAATTTTTAGAATTTAAATTGAAATTTGTTATTTATTTTGTGGCAATTTGAATAATATAATTTTATTTTATGACTTGTGTTTAATTACCGACCCAATTCTGAGTTTATAACTATCAATGTTTAACTCGATAGCCTCGCAATTTCGAACTCAAACCCAGAAGACATGGGGACTTCTGGAGATGTGGAGAACATTTGATGCAACTAACCCTCATTTGCGTTACATGGAGAAGGAAACAAAGAAAATCTCACATGGTTAGCTCGATGCCAAGAGGAATCTACCGTATGAACCCCTGAGGATATTTTATGATAGAAGTGTCGTCAGCGTGGACCGGGGGCGAAATTCGTATCAACTGGCTTACGCTGGATTCGAACCCGGGTAATTTGGATGAGAGCGCTCTATCCACTGGGCCACCGCGACTCCCTCCTGAATGATTCTTAAGTTTTTCGCTTCCAAAAACGCTTTTTCCTGCATTCAATAGAAAGGGAAATATTGACATTAGTACGAGGCTCAGAGTAGCTATGAATTGATGGTGCAATGGAAAGGGGAGCTAAGAAGCAACTCAAGACACGCACAAAAGATCAAGGCTTCTCTGCCAGCAGCTCTCATAATTATTCAACTATAATTTTTAGAAAATTAAAAAAATGAATTAATCAAGTTAAATAAAAAAAATTAAAGAATTAAATTTAATTTTAATTAATTAAATCAATTAAATATTAATTAAAATTAATTAAATTTTCAAAAAATTAATCAATTAAAAAAATTTATTAATTAAAAAATTACATTGTTGATTAAAAAAATTAAATAAGTAAATTAATTAATTATTTCAGCTTTATTTAAATTAAATTAAAATTTAATTTTAATAAAGTTGATTAGTCTTAAACTGAATTTAAGACTTTTTCTTAAAAAAAAATTGTGCGTCTTTACAAAATTGTGAACAAACAAATTTCTTTTTTCCACAGTCATTTTTTTTAGTTTATCATTTTGTGTTTGCCCTTTATTTAGTGTTGATGTCTAAAAATGTCTCAATGAAGAGTTAAAATTAATCATCGAAAAATTACAAAGTATAGCTTTTTATACAATAGTTTAATGCAATTTGCATTAATGATGTCTAACTGAATAATTAAATATCATAAAATTTTCTTAGCTTACAGCGAAGTACAGTATTGGGCTACTTTAATTAGCGAATAAAAACTCGTAGCATTATCTCTATTTAATTTTCTTCTTTTTAAAT